CCCCCGATGCCCCCCCTCCCAGGGGATTTAGCCCCCCAGCCTAGAAGGAGCCGGCAGGGCAGGGCTGGCGTGGCAAAGGGGGGCAGGCATGATGGCTGAGGAGCACTGCCAGGCTGGGGGCCCGCCAGGCACAAAAAGCAAACGGGAGGACCTTGCCTAGGGTGCCCCAGGAAGAGTTTGAACCCCTGCTCTGGGCACAGCCTCCATGTAAGGGGCAGATGCCTGGGGGGGCTGCAGCTCCTTGGAGGAACTCTGTGTCCAGTGCCAAGGGGCTAAGCTGTGGTGCCTGATGTGGCGCGAGGTAGGCAGGGGGTGGATCCTGCAACCCCCTCCCTTGACATTCCACACTTCCTCCTGGCCAGGGTACAAAAGGAGAAGCAGGCAGGAGCAGCGTGTGCACAGGCACACGCCAGCATCCACTCTCAGCACCCAGTGAGCGCCTCGGGGCACCACACAGCTCCCCAGCCACAGGTAAGGGGGTCTACTTCCCTGGGGGAAACTGAGGCACAGGCAGGGTGGGCGGGCAGCAAAACAGGAAGGCAGCTCGTCCAAGGCCACCCAAGGTCACTGGGGTGGGAGTCCAGATGTCCATAAGACATCTCATCCAGAGTCCCATGTCCTGCCCTGCCCGCTGTGCCACCTTGCTGCAGTGGGTAGCACGGGACACTCACATATGCTTGGGCGCTCTTGTGCACACACACTTCTGTGAGTGTACACACATCCTGCTGTGCACACCCTTGTGCACACACATGTGCTCCCCAGCCCTGTCCCCAGTCACCACCCGTGGTGTCAAGCCCAGAACCTGGCACCTCCAAGGGCACTGTTTCTTGACTTGCCCCCAGGATGCTTCCTGCCAGCCCTCAAAACAACCCCACTGAACTGTGCCCCCCAGCCCCCCTCCTTATGCCCACAACACCCACAAACCCCATGTCAGCCCCCCAGGCAGCACGCTGTGCTAATGGGGCTCTGCCTGCGGGAGAGCTCGGTTTGGTGGGGCTGCATGTCAGGAGCTGGGTGCCTCCCCTTCCCTACCCCACCAAGAGCCCCCTGTGTTGTTCATAGCGTGAGCGAGGGAAGCGAGAGCAGAAGCAAACGTAGTACTTCCCCCACTCCATACCCACATCCTGAATCCCTGGGGACAGGGACAAGGACAGGGACACACTGGGGTGGGGGAGCTCAGCCTCAGCAACCCTCCAAGGAATGGGGCAGAGGCTGGGCACAGCATGCGAGCAGAGTCTAGGGGCATTTTGGGACAGGGTACATGGACAGCTAAGGGGATATGGGAGACAGCACCTTAGCCTACCCCGTGTAGTGGGGGGACATGGGCAGGACAGGGGGGTGCCTGAGCCTACCCCTTCTTACCTTAATAGCAGGCAGCTCTGGGGAAGCCGGAGGGGCAGACCCTCTTCTTGGGGTAGAGAGTTTGGGGGTGCCAGGTGAGTACCAGCCTATCACCTCTCATTTCTTCCCTTGCCTTTGCAGACCCGCAGGGGACAGCCATGGCAGGGGACGGGGAGCTCAGCCGCATCATCAAGGACCTGCAGAGTAAGTGTGCCAGCTTGTCCTCTGCCAGCGTGTCTCGTGCATAGCAAGTCTTGTCCTGGCCGTGCTGGGTCCCTCCCTGCACCCAGACTGGGGGTCACTGCCATGGGTGCCATGCTCCCCCCAGAGCATCCCAGAGCCAGCCCTGCCATGTCTGCCTGCTCCTGTCCTCACTGCCAGCTCCAGGGAACTGGCAGTGCCTGGCGGGTACCTGTGCCCTTGCTCCCTCTGCTCCCCCACTTCATGCCAGGGCAAGTTCCTCTTTCACCAGTCGGCAGAAATCCCCAGGACCAGAAGCTAGGAAGCAGCGGGGAGGGGAGGTGGGATGGGGCAGAGTGCCCACAGTGCCAGCTCAGCCCTGCCATCCCACAGAGACCGTGGCTGAGCTGAACCACAGCTCCCAGGCCAGGGCAAGTTCCTCTTTCACCAGTCGGCAGAAATCCCCAGGACCAGAAGCTAGGAAGCAGCGGGGAGGGGAGGTGGGATGGGGCAGAGTGCCCACAGTGCCAGCTCAGCCCTGCCATCCCACAGAGACCGTGGCTGAGCTGAACCACAGCTACCGGGAGCAGAAGCTGCCAGTGACAGATGGGAGCCGGGAGCTGCACAGCCTCTGTGCCCAGCTGGAGTTCCTCCTCCAGGTACCATCACTCCTCCATCCCCACCACTCCCTGCCTCAGTTTCACCTGAAGCACAGGTGAGAGCAGAAGGGACCCCATGCTGGCCATGTTGGGGGTTAGGATGGCACCAGCTGGTGCTGTTTGTGCCTGGGCATCCCCAGCCACACAGGCGCCTGGACCAAGCTCACCCACACCTGCATGTGTAATTGCACATGCAGCAAAAGGGAAACTGAGGCACAGAGCCAGCTAAAAGGGGACAGCCAGGGGACACTCGGACACTGGGGTGAGGGGACAGGGACCCCTCGCCATAAACGAGCAAGCCCAAGCCTATGTCTCTGCCAGTTTGACCTCAAGGAGAAGAGGAGCTTCTTCGGGCAGCGCAAGGACTATTGGGACTTCCTGTGCCAGGGCCTGGCGCGGCGCCGGCAGGAGCACGAGGGCGTTCGCTTTGTCACCTCCCTCGACAAGGTGGGCACAGACTGTCAGGGTGCCTGGGGGCTCGTGCATGCACACATGCACACACTTCTGCTTGTTTGTGAGTGCAAGCACACTCGTGCACGGGCAGGCATTCACCCTGGCACTGAGGATTTGCCTGCTGGCACTTTCTCCCCTCTGGGATCCCTGCTGCCCCACAGACCTGGCCCTAAGGACTCCCCTCCCTTCTACATGGGCTGAGGGGGAGGTGTGTTGGGAGCAGGCTGGTGTGGCAGGGCTGGATAACCCCCTCTCCCCCCAGCTGAAGACCTCCGTGGGCAGGGGCCGAGCCTTCCTGCGGTACTGCCTGGTGCACCAGCAGCTGGCAGAGTCCCTGCAGCTCTGCCTCCTTGACCCTGAGAGCCTTCGGTGAGAGCAGGGACACGGGGATGGGATGCTGGGAGCGGGGAGGGGCACAGCCAGCCTGGGCAGCACCCTGCAGCACACGGTGAGTAAGGGTGCTACAGGCATGGGTGCCCACCCGGAGCACAGAGGAGTGTGTGAGCCCATTTTGTGGTTGCAGCGAGTGGTACTACGCCCGCAGCCCCTTTCTGAACCCTCAGAGCCGGACAGAGATCCTGGGCAGCCTCTACGAGCTGGACAGCATCACCTTCCACCTGGCCCTGTACAGGCCTGACCTGGACATTGCCTGGCCCATGTTCTCAGAGTGAGCCTGGGGATACAGGTGGCACTGGGGTCACTGGGGGCATGAGGGATGCTGAGGACACCAGGGGCACCCAGGGTACTGGGGGCCCAGCATTGCAGAGCAGCAGACGGGCTTTCCTCTGCTGCCCCAGACTCCAAGTGGCACCCCAGCTGTGCCAGCCCTCACGCGTGGCCACAATCTGACAGAGACACTATGCCAATGCCCACAAACATGCCACACGCGTGTGCTAAGCACATGCCTAGGCACAGGTCTGCTGCAACATCGTGACACATCTGAGACACGGGGACACACAGGCACACCCTTGCCACCAGAAACGCTTGCAGGGGGGCACTTACAGACAGAACATCTCTGGCATTCTCACACCTGCTTGCTCTGCTGCTCGCACACTCGTGTGCACACTGCCACAAGCACACACACAGACCCAAATTCCCCCCTGTCACCACCATAAGTGTTTGGGTGAGATCTGCTCTACGGACGTTCAGGCTAATGGCACTAACCTCCCTGGTCCCCTGTCACCTGGTGCTCCCTGGTGTCACAAGTCCTGCTGCCCTCTCCATCCATGGAACAGGCTGCCCAGGGAGGTGGTGGGGGCACTGTCCTTGGAGGTGTTAAAAAAATGGGTGGATGTGGTGTTTCAAGAGAGGGTGTAGTGGTTAGGGGTTGTAGGAGATGGCTGGGCTTGATGATGTTGAAGGTCTTTATTAACCTTGATGATTCTATGATCCGCAAAGGCTGACCTGTGCCAAGGGAGCCCTGGGGGAGGGTGGCAGTGCCTGGCTCACTATGGGAGTGACCTGCTGGCCCTGAGTTCCATGTCTCCTCTAGAACACTGGTACGGCCCACCCCAGTGGCCAGGAGCAGCCCAGCAAAGGTAGCCCTGCAGACAGGCAATACCGGCATCGGGGAGCATGAATGGCCTGATGGCATCATCCATCCCACCACAGCATCCCACAAGGTGCCAGCTTGCCCACGCTCACCTGCCTTGGCTGCCCCACGGGTGGGGGATTTAAAGGTGGAGGATGTGGAGGTGAAGAAGGACATGGAAGAGGATGAAGAGGAGGTGGAGGAGGATGAGGCTGATGAGGAAGAGGAGGATTCAGAGGTAGATTTGAAGGAGGATGTGGAGCTGGAGAAGTACATGGAAGAGGAGGATGAAGAGGAGCTAGAGAAGGATGAGAAGGAGACGAAGGATGTGGATCTGGAGGAGCTGGAGGTTGCACATGGTGCTGGCAAGACACCCCAGCCAGATGGTGATGGGAAGCCTGGCACGTTCCTGCTGCCTGGCACACGGTGCACGTCAGGCTCCTCGCTGCCGGCGCCTGGGCAGCTGGACTGG